TAGTACATATATGAATACGTGAGAAATTTCCAACTATTTCAGATTAATCTCGTCTCTGAAAGTATCCGCAAAATTATAATTACGTTACGAAAATATAACTACGAAATAAACAGGAAAATTGATAATGGATCTGAATATCAATATACATCAATTTCAAAGAACATTTGTACAAATTCTCGATTTTGCTTCAAATGTATCTTAAAATGTATCTTAAAATTGAAGTAGAATTGAGATAAAATGATGACCGTAGTTCTCTCTAATTTTGTTTGATTTTAATTATTATACCTATTTCTGTTCTTTGGCTCCTTATTTTTGAGAATGGTAGATGATTCGTTTACAGTTCTCTTTTAATCCGTCAAGAATAAAATCTTTAAATTCACAGATCATTCCTTCATCATGCCTACGGATCCCTGGAAGTACTTGGAACATCGTGCATTTCAAACAGATCGATAGGTTTCAGGCACGGAAATCGTAAATAGTTTAGTTCATGACCGTACTCTCGTTGAAATTTTTGGGACCATTCTGGTCCCGCTTGGCGATTTAAATCCCAAGTGGGCGGATATTGTACTCCTTTTATTTCACTGATGATTCGGGCCATTTCATAAGCCAAAATCGGTAGCCGCCTCAGCGAGCAATCTAGGCATCTGCAATTTGATGCGGGAACTGATGTCAGGGTATCCACCAACACTAATCCTTCTTCATACGAAAATATGTCTCCAGGAATGAAGAGTTCATATGGATAATTCATACGTTCAGTTTGACGACGATAACGTTCTGTTTCTTGTTGCAGTAGAGTAGAGTTAATCGAAAATCTTGATTGAATACTCGAGATATTTTCCGGATTAGTCATATATTCTGTTATGGCGTTTCTCATTTTTGTTGTGCGGCGAAAATGGGTAATTCTCGCAGATGAGATTTCTATTCCTTTGTTATATAGATACGTATACCATTCATTAAATGTGTTGGGATAGTTTCCTTGTCTCTTTCTATTTATAACACTTTGCACGCTATCTCGAAACCACGCTCGCATTGGTTCTGTCTCGTCTACTACTGCTTCAGCCATCACTTCTGTTATGATGATTTAATAGAAAAACAATCAAAAGATAGATTATTAGAAATTTTAAATATGTGAATTATGTCACATTGTACATAAGGAAGACAATATAGTAAGATGAAAACGCAACTTCGTTTGTGTGATATTGATTTTATAATATATGATTTTTAATAAAAACAAACAGACGTATATTAAATGCAATTGAAAGAATCTTGAAAATATAATTTTTATTCAATAATAGTATTAATGAAAGGAATATATACGTATTTATTTTATTGATATTGCTATTTAATAAGGTTACTATCAGTTGGTGTTACAACACACTGACACAATTACTTTTGTTTCGCGTATTTGTGATCATGCATGAGAAAGTATGTCATATTATTTAATTAAATTAAGTTGAAAATATTGTGTCAATAATCGTTACACCACTTTGTTAATAATCGTTAAATTTATTCAAAATATTTCACATTCGTATTTCAATATTTTTATAATTGCTTAAAAGGTTGCTAAAATATCCTTAGCCCATAATATACAACAAATAGAAATAAAGATACTAACCAGAATATGAAAAATCGTCTTCCGATAAGAATTAAATAAAATAAATTGAATTCAATTAGCACTTCTAGGCACTCTCTGACGGATAAGGCAACTAAACGATTGGCAACTGAAGCTCGCACTGAAGATCGGTAGATATAACGTTCTTGTT